GTGCACCAGGCCTCTAGTCCTATATAATGAAGAAGGAACATGCAAATTGACCATCACTCTGCCACAAGATGGTGGCGCCCACAGCGGGGGTGGGGGTGGTGGTGGTGGTGGTGTGTTGTTTCCATAACACAAGATGGCTGCGCCCACAGTGGAGGCTGAGTTTCTGTAACGAGCCTTAGTGAGCCATCAGCAGGGACCTGAGGCTGCACCCCACCCAGTCCCCCTCCCCTGTTGGGCTTGACAGGGAACCTCAGGCCATTCCCCCATGCCCTGCTGCCAGGTTGGGGGACCTCAGGCCACGCCCCTCACCTGGCAAGGCTTGACGGGGAACTCAGGCTGTGCCCCCTGCCCTGGCGCCAGGTCAGGGGACCTAAGGCCACTCCTTCCACCCGGCGTGGCTTGACGGGGGACCTCAGGCTGTGCCCCCACCCTGGTGCCATGCCGGGGAACCTCAGGCCGCTCCTCCCACCTGGCGGGGCTCGACAGGGGACCTCAGGACATGGCCCCTCGCCCCGGCAACAGGCCAGGAGACCTGAGGCTGCGACCCCCGCCTGGCAGAACTTGACAGGGGACCTCAAGGTGCGCCCCTTGCCCAGTAGGGCTTGACAGGGGACCTCAGGCCATGCCCCCGGCACTGGGCCAGGGGACCTCAGGCCACAACCCCACCCTGGGGCCGGGGGAACTGACGCCATGTCCTCCGCCTGGCAGAGCTTCACAGGGGACCTCAGACCATGACCCCACCTGGCGGGGATTGATGGGGGGACCTCAAGGTGCGCCCCCCGCCCTGGTGCTGGGCCAGGGGACCTCAGGCCATGCCCCCCACCTGGCAACAGGCCAGGGGACCTGAGGCTGCGCCCGCCCCCGCCTGGCAGAACTTGACAGGGGACCTCAGGCCATGCCCCCGGCACTGGGCCAGGGGACCTCAGGCCACAACCCCACCCTGGGGCCGGGGGAACTGACGCCATGTCCTCCGCCTGGCAGAGCTTCACAGGGGACCTCAGACCATGACCCCACCTGGCGGGGATTGATGGGGGGACCTCAAGGTGCGCCCCCCGCCCTGGTGCTGGGCCAGGGGACCTCAGGCCATGCCCCCCACCTGGCAACGGGCCAGGGGACCTGAGGCTGCGACCCCGCCCAGTGGGGCCTGACAAGGGTGGGACCGGCCAGATCTGGATCTAGCCCAATGGGGGTGGGGCCAGCTGGGTCTGGGTCTTGCATGATTTCGAGGCGCACATGGGTGGGCAGAGATTTGACTCTGGTTTCTGTGGCATGCCCCAGGCTCTGACTGGAGGAAGATTTTCATATACATTTTACTAATTTTCTTTCATCTCTGACACTTCTATTATAGAGAAAGGACAAATAGCAATATTAAAATATTTCCTCTAATTCAGTGGTTCTCAACCTGTGGGTCGCGAACAATGAAAATACAGCCTGCATATCAGATATTTACATTACAATTCATAATAGTAGCAAAATTAGTTATGAAGTAGCAACGAAAATAATTTTATGGTTGGGGGTCACCACAACATGAGGAACTGTATTAAAGGGTCGTAGCATTAGGAAGGTTGAGAACCACTGCTTAATTAATCCCCTTTTAATGTGCATGAATTTCATGTACCAGGCCACAAGTTCAACCATAAAAGTGATTAGAAATCACATATTACAACCAAGATTTGCTGAAATGGGTCATCTTAAACTAATCTAGTCTAAAAAAGTAGTTAAGGATATATTTTAATATGTTTTTATTGTTTAGAGAGAAAGGAAGGGAGTGAAGTAGAGAAATAGAAACATCTATTGCCATCCTCCTGCACAGCCCTTACTGGAGATCAAGCTTGCAACCTAGGCATGTGTCCTGATCGGGAATCGAACCAGTGATCTCTTGGTTCCTGAGCCACACCGGCCAAGCAGTTTAGATAGATTTTAATTCTTGCATTTTATGTTTATAAAACACTTATTTCCATAATGTTAGTAATTATTTTTTCACTCAAATCAATGAATGATTTTAAATTACAGGAAAATTGGTAAAACTGCCTAATAAATAGAAGCTATCCACCAAGGATTACCAAAACATAAGGCAAAAATCCTATTTCTATGCCTTATTAAAAAGGTTTCCCCTCTTTGAGTGGAATATTTTAAAATTTATATATCCCCTCATCAATTCTAACAAACTATTTTCATTTTTACATATTATCTTCTAGCCATTATTCACATCAATGCCTTTTTAGAGAGTTGCAATTACAGAAACATTATTTCATATTTTGCACCACTTCATATCATAATATTTGTTTCTCCAAAGAACAGATTTTTACTGCTTGAATTACTGACATATAGAATCATTATGACATATTCTTATCCCTAATCCAATTTACCTTGAATTCTGATAACCATTCTTCCACAACACCACGTTCAGATCCCAGCATCTTCCTCTACCTTCTGTTACTCTTATCTCTGAAAGAAAAAAAGCACTGAGTTGAGGATAGCATTACTACTTACAGAAACTACCAAAAGTAAGTAATGAGTGCTTTTCACTAAAGGAGACATTCATCTAGTATATATTTTAGATAAGAAGGCTTAGTTTTAGAACAGAGCTCAAACTAAAATTTTTTAAAGAAAGAAGTTTTATTTATTTTAATATATTTTTATTGCTTTCAGAGAGGAAGGGAAAGGAAGAGAGAGATAGAAACATCAATGAGATAGAGAATTATTGATTGGGTGCCTCCTGCACACCCCTTAATGGAGATAGAGCCTGAAACCCAGGAATTGAATGTGACTGCCTGGTTCATAAGTCAATGCTCAACCATTGAGCTACACCAGCCACGCTGTCTTTTTTTAAATATTAAATCAGTTAACACATCAGTAAGCAAGACTAACTATGATAACTGCTCTTAAGGGATTCTGATGGACCAAAATTATTAGATAAACAAAGCTACACAAGTAATGGGACAACATATGAGATAGTCAAAAATGAGTTTTGCTACAGCAAATTTTCAAGCTATTTAGATTAAGTCTGAAACTTAAGCATGTAAAATGTGCTGTTATTGTAAATACCAAGTTCCCTAAGGAAAAACCTAGAGCTATACTATCCAATGCAGTAGCCACTAGCTACAAGTGGCTATTAAAATAAAATAAAATTTAAAGATTCAATTCCTTAGTTGCACTATTTAGTACTTAGAAGCTAAATGTGGCTTGTGTCTTCCATGCTGGACAGCACAGATATAGAATACAGACATCATCATAGAAATTCTATTGGACAGCACTGATCTAGATGTAGTTAAATAATACAGTTATACTAAGTAAATTTGATGTCAGTAACTGTAAAGGTTAGACAACAAAAAAGTTAAAAGACAGAACTATTAAATAGAAAACACTTCTAAAAGTAAATTTCAAAGACATTAAGATGTGATTCTTTCAAGTCTCCTAGGTAAAACTGCCTAATAAATAGAAGCTATCCACCAAGGATTACCAAAAAGTCTAATATGCCTAACTGTATGGGAAATTCACTTTATCCTTTAAAAAGTTAACTTCTCTAATTTTTACCTCTGTTCTAAGATCAGTTTTCTAAAGGAGGAGGTGGCACAGGAATGCGGCAGAGTTCAAGTGTGGAATTCATTTGTTGAGACTTAAATATTTTCCAACTCTATAAAAAAATGAAAATAGAAGACTGTAAAATATTGAGACATATTCTCAAGAATGTAATACAAAGAAGTAAGAACAATTTTGGTAAGACAGTTATAATATAGTTTACCTAATTTAAGAAATAGAGACTCAAAAATTTCTATAGTAACTAACAGTTATTTGTGTACCATTACCAAACCTAATTTTTAAAAAAACTAGAAAGAAAGTCTGAGTTTTAGTTTCAAATATTCATTCATTATCGGCAAAACCTTGAGTAGGTTATTTAAATTTTCTGTAGCTGGAGCCTCACTTGAATAATCTATAAAATTAAGATTTCCATACAATAATTCTATTAATCCAATAGTACAGTGATATCACACACACATACACACACACACATGCAAACAATCATTAAACTTTATTATGCAGTATAAAACCAAGCTTAAATAATAAGTATCAATGACTATAAAATCATTTTTGGATGAGTTTCACAGAACTGAAAATTTTATCATTTTAAAAAAGAACACAGAAAATGCTATTACTTAAATTTTTGTCACAAAAAATACATGAAAGGTTTTTGATTGGAAAAAATCATTTTCAAATTGCTAAAGTTATACTTTTCTCACAAATTGATAATTCTTTTCATATAGTTGCTTATCACATTATGTTCTATCTCTTTGATTCAAAATTGTATTACCATTTAAAATCTAAAACACCAAAAGAAAATTAACGTTTTATAATGTTAACAAAATGTTATTTTAAATACAAAAAGTACATCAATAAATATCTCTTGAAATTTAATTACATTATCATTATAATTCAATGTTTTTCAAACTACATACGTGTCAAGACCTCTCTACTCCAACCACAACAGCTGACTTTATCTCTTATATGAGATTTTTACTTCATGATATGTTCAGCAGCGAGGGAAAGTCTTGAAAAGGACCAAGAGTATCTCCAAAAAGATATACAAGAAACTCGTAACTAGTGCCCCCTTGGGAAGGGGCACTTCATGTCAAGGAGACTAGATCTTTTAGTGTCTTGGGAATTATGAACCACAAGGCAACTGGCAGTTTGAAGCAGTGCAGCAGATTTGAACCTCTATAGAGATGGGTCTCTAAGGATACAGATACTAACTAGGCTCTCAATTAAAAAAAAAAACAACAAAAAACAAAGCAAGAAAATCCAACATGAGAAATGATGGGAAAACTGAGTATTATTAAATTTTAACACAGCTTTAAAACAGCTCAATCCCTGATTAATTGAAGGTAATTAGCCCCTTCACCGATTTGAGCCACAGGAAGAAATGGGAACTCTATCTGGAAGGCAACGCTGTCTCTGAATCTTTCATACAAAAAGTCTGGCACACAATAAAAAAAAGACTAAATATCCATAGTGACAAAAATATAACCAAAAATTAAGAGAAAAAAAGACAAAAACAGCATACACATTCCTCTGAAGTGCACATGGGCTTTTTTCCAAGATAGACAATATGTAGGCTACAAATCAAGACTCAACAGATTTAAGAAGATAGTTTTTATACAGAGTATCTTCCATGACAACAATGGGATGAAGACAGAAATCAAAAGAAGGAAAACTGGGAAAATTTGCAAGGTTGTGGAAATTAAACCACACACAAGGGAAATTAGAAAATACTTAGAGCCAAACAATAATAAAAACACAGTATTTCAAAACCTCTGGGATGCTGTGAAAGTGGTGTTAAGGGGGAAATGTATGGCTATAAATGCTTACATTAAAAAACAAGAAAGCTCTCAAATCAACAACCTAACTTTACAACCTAACGAACTAGAAAAAGAATAAACTAAATCCAAGGCTAGCAGAAGGATGAAAATAATAAGGGTTAGAGCAGAGATAAATGAAATAGAGAATAGAAAACAATAGACAAAATTTAAAAACCCAAAATGAGTTCTTTAAGAGAAAACACAAATTCCTAAAATCAGAAATGAAAGAGGGGACATTACTACTGATTCTACATAAATAGAAAGGGTTATAAAGAGAATATTGTGAACAACTGTACACCAACAAATTGGATAATCAAATTCCCAGAAATACAAAACTTACCAAGATTAAAACAGGAAAAAATAGAAAATCTGCACCCGAATAACTTCAATAAAAATTAAAGTAGCCCCGCTGGTGTAACTCAGTGGGTGAGCATCATCCCATGAACCAAGAGGACATGATTCAATTCCCGGTCAGGGCACATGCCTGAGTTTCAGGCTCAATCCCCAGTAGGGGAAGTGCAGGAGGCAGCCAATCGATGATGTTTTTCTCTCATCTATGTTTCTATCTCTCTATCCCTCTCCTTTCCTCTCTCTCTAAAATGCAATAAAAACATTTTTTTTAAAAAAAAAAACAAACCTCAATTATTTTTTTAATCTATTGTTCATCAGATTAGATGTGCTTTTCTTTAACTTTTTCTTTAAAATGTCTTAACAAGGAAATCTTATTAAAAGAGAACTCAGCCAGGTGGATGAACCCATGCAGTGATTGGTGGTGCAGAGTGGACTGAAGGCAAAAGGAAGTGCCTTTTCCAGAGGAGAATCCAGAATGGGGGACAACAGAAAGGGGGCTCAGGAAGCATGAGTGGGTTCAGTGGTAAATTTGATTCTAACATTTTCATGGAGTTCAGTGTTTTACAAATAGACCAAAATAATTCTTTTGTAACCGATGCTTTGTCATTCAATAAATTGGTGCCATTTATCATATTTTATGGCTACTTTTCTGGCAGTTATATTTCAAACCTAGAAAGAACTATCCTATATAATCCTATATAATAAAAGCCTAATATGCAAATTGTGCCCTCAACTGGAAGTTTGACTACATGCTATGAGGTACGCTGACCACCAGGGGGTGGCGTGGAACATGGTGGGCGTTGGCGACATGACACTGGCAGCAGGCAGCAGTGGAAACACTGCCAGACCCGATGGGCCCTGACGAGCAGGACCATGGTGAGAGATGGTGGAGCAGGTGAACGGGCGGCACCAGCCAAGGTGGGTGCAAGCAGGGCCCGATGCCCCACCGATCATCCTGCAGACTGTGACCAGCAGCAGCAGTGGGGGGCAGGACCACTGTCCGGCTCCCAGGCGCTGAGGCAGTTGGGCGGGGGCCTGATGACTCAGGCAGAGTGGGGTGTGCTGGGGCCCAGGGGCCCAGATGCTGCCCAGGGCCCAGAGGTCAGCTGGGACCTGCCCTTCCACACCAGACGCACACACTTCAATCGTCGGCCAGGCCTAGGGACCACACCTGTACACAAATTTCATGCACCAGGCCTCCAGTAATTCTATAACTAATCAATCACTCATCTTAATATATTATATAACTGAGTTTTTACTCCTTTCTCCAAAATTAAAGCTGACTCATTTACTTTTTCTAGTACCTGTCTCCATGACAAATAGATACCCAAACAGAAAGTCTAGAATTCATTAAGATGCACCAGGAATTTCTAAACAGGATCTGTGTCAAAATCAACACATTCACAATTCCAAGTTTTACTATATATTATAGAGTGAGTGTTTACGCAAAAGCTAAATGTATCATAGCAATATTGCAAAAAGACCTTTAATCAAGAAAACTTCCAATTCTTATTCTCCAACTGTAGTTTGATTCTAGAATTAGATAGCTTCCAGATACATTGAGAGAACAAGATATAAGTAAATATCTGTACAAATTAACACAGGCCTGAATCATGAAAGCAATTACCTTGGTTTATGGAAAGCAGCTAAGTTCCAAGTAAAAACTAATCCAAACCAAAACATTCAGCACAATTTTTATTTCTGGCAACTTTAGCTCCTGGCTAGAAAGTCTATCCCAGCTATGACATTAAATGGTGAAAATGTATTGAGCTATAAAAATATTGGTAGATTTGACAACCCTTTCTCTCAAGCAAAAACTATGATTACTGGTTCATATCACAAGTAAGAGAGCCTTGAATTAGATCAATGATTTGTAAGTGGAAGTCAGCAGTGAACCATATCTGGGGAATTTTTTTCTTCAAAATATGTATATCTACCTTCCTTCACATTCCCCCTACCAAAAAGATTCTGAAGGAAAGTGGAGATGATATAATAAATATGTATGTGCCTTTAAAAAACAACAACCTCCTAGATTATCGTGTGTGTGTGTGTGTGTGTGTGTGTGTGTGTGTATAAAACTCTCCACTTTCATGGAGATTTTCTGAATTAGGTCTAATTCTATTTTTAACACTGTATCAATAGCAGGCAAAAGGAGGTGAGCTACAAAGTGACAAGAACTCAGTGGAAGGCTCTGCAGGTAAGAGGCTGCACTCACACCAGCTGTAAGCAACCTTCAGAGCTTTCTGTGCCAGCTGCTTCCAAAATCCACTGCATCACATTTTAGACAATGACAAATGTTCAACTCATCATCCTGAGAAAAGAATATAGTCTACTTACCAGACAAAAATGTAAAAAGAAGCTATTTTGGACATCAAAAGAAACTAAGAAGTCACAGACACCGAAACAAAAAATTCCTCTGTTCTTGCATTAAAAGAATAACAACAAAATACTATTTTGTGCAACTAATAACTTGTTTGGAGACTTTCTGCCCATATTTTATCAAGTGTAGTTTTTGTGTGGGTTTTGTTGTTGTTGTTTTATTTCAAAGATTAAGGAAGAGGGAGAGAGTGAAACATCAATGATGAATGAGAGAATCATTGATCAGCTGCCTTCTGCACGCTCCCCACTGGGGATTGAGACCGCAACCTGGGCACGTGCCCTGACGGGGAATCAAACCCGGGACCCTTCAGTCCACAGGCTGATGCTCTATCCAGTCAGCCAAACCGGCTAGAGCTGTATTTTGGTTTTTTATGTAGCATGGGTTTTTCTATTATAAAGCTCAGTCAAGCTGAAAATTTTAATCATTCTAGAACTCAATAAACTACTATAAGGTAAAACTGTGTATTAAAAACAAACTAAATCTATTGCATGTGAAGATGGCTTGAGAGTTGGATTTAAAAACAAGCTTTAAAGGTGCAATTTAGAGGAAATGACTGTACTTCTTTACAGCCATTGTTTCAAATTCCTTATAAACAGCTCCAATACAGAAATGTGTTAGAAAAGTAGACTTCTAATGATATTCAACTTTATTGTATTCTACAATGACACCTACTGGCCATTAAAAATCAGCCACTGACAGCTCTAGTAGGTTCATTACATAATAAGAAACACACACACACACACACACACACACACACACACACCTAAATAAAAGCAGATTTGTTCACAGGTACTCACACTACAGAACTGCGACTAGAAGTAGAAATATTCTTTGTGACTGAGATAGTATTATTCATGCAAAAAGTAAAAATACAATGAAACAGCAAGTGTCAACATTTTTATCTGGAGCATTGATAAATACCTTAGTACTCCACTTCAGAACTAACAAAATCTAATGAACCACCTCTCCTTACCAAGTGATGAGTTTTTGGGTTAGGCTCTGGGACATATTAATTTAAATTAGTAATAGAAAAAGGGAAGTTATAGTACACTTGCTAATACTATATTAGTTCTTATCTTCTAAGGTAAAGGCAACATTGCAATCAGCTTACATTTTGGTTATTTATAATGCTTCTTTTAAAACTGTTTTCCAGTGAGCTACAAAACCAAGTTTTTAGAAAATAAATATTGTATATATATTTTTTAAATTGATTTCAGAGAGGAAAGGAGAGGGAGAGATAGAAGCATCAATGATGAGAGAGAATCACTCACTGATCGGCTGCCTCCTGCACACCCCCTACTGGGTATGGAGCCGAAATCCAGACAAGTGCTCTGACCAGGAATCAAAACAGTGACCTCTGACCTCCAGGTTCATAGGTCGAGGCTCAACCATGGAGGCACAATGGAGGGCAAAACCAAGTTTTTAATGTAGTCTGTCCTTCCATAACATATACTTAATAAAATCCCTATGTTAATTGTACATTTCATTGTGCAAACATGGCAATTCAGTTACTTATGTCTGCAAATACATTTTCCCTCGGTCAGAGAGGTTCAAAAAGCACACTTTTTAAACCTAAGAAATAATCCATAACCAGGCTCTCAGACCTACAGAGCAAATTACTTAAAAGATGACTTTTGCATTCCCTCTCCCCATTCAGACCACCACGTTATTTTCAGTCTTTAACATCCACAATATCTAGGGAGATATATATATGTCTATATATACCCAACAATGGGATGTCTAGTCATTTTCCAATTTGCACTTACCTCCCACTATAGATTTTTGAGGCTCTCCACTTTCCTGAAGATTAGAAATAAAGAAGTATGTGTAATCAGCCTCGACCCTCAAAACAAGTAAATTCCTAAACTGCAAGCTAACGACAACCCAAATCCGTATTTGGGAGAAGGTCTTCGTGACTAGCCTTCATGCTTCCACCGCCTGCAGGGGCGACGAGCACTCAAACCAACGGAAAAAACACACACAACTATTCCGACACATCAATGGGCTGCCAGACCTCCTCTTCCAGGAGAGACAGCCTGGTTGTGGGGGTAAATGACAGCCACGGGTTACATAATGGACCGTGAGAAAGAGTTTCAAGGATCTGCCCGCCAGGAAATATCGGTCTTCTCCGCTCCCCGCTCCCACCCCGACGAACAGCCCTGAAGAAGCGCAAACCCTCGGGTTCCTCTCAGGCGCCTGCAATGCCGCGTCCTTTTCTCTGTCCGCGCTTCGTGCCAGGACCCCCTCCGGCCCTTGGCCCGGCTCCCGCCCGTCCTCTCTGCAGGTGCCATCTCAGCCCCCGCGCCCTAGGCCCCACGTCGCCGCACCGGGCTCAGCCTCCACCCGCCTCAGCTGCCCGCTCCTCGCGACCTCCCAGCGGCTACCTGGGCTACGAAACGTCCCGGAACCACCGACAGCGCGGCTGCCACCTTCCCAGACCGTCCCCGTCAGCTCCCCGCAGGGCTCCTGCAGCCGGAGGTGAACACCCCTTCTCGGGATCCCTCGCGCCCCCCAAAGACAGCGCGGCCGCTCGCTTACCTGTCACCCCGCTGCCTCCGGCTTCTTACCGCCACCGCCTCCCGCAGCCGCCTGCCAACTGCAGTGCAACAAGCAGCCCTCCCACTGGCCGAGTCCACGTTGAACAACAGCCTCACTTATTGGCTGCCGGAGGTCCGCGGCCCGCCCCTCGGTGCAGCGTCTAAGGGATTCCGGTCTGCGAACAAGGAAAACGTCGCCTCTGTCCCGCCCTTCTGTCCTCCACAATCGCACCGATAGTCGCTAGATGACGGGTGCACAGATGTGCGGGGAAAAAATGTCGACTGTCAGCCTCCTTCGCGTCATCTCCACCTGGTCCGTAAATCTGTGACCCCGTCCCGGAACGTTACATGGCTTCTCGGCTTTCCTGCCGGGAGGAACTCCAGGTGACAACTTCCGCTTCCGGTCGGCTCTGGCTGGAGGGTTGACTATTGAGTGTCCTGAGAGGTCAGATTGCTGTCAGGTAAATTAGAGAGTTGATGGGAGATCTCTTAACTGGAACTGGGAATGAGATACCTATTCTGGGGAATTTAGAAAGGGAGAGACAAAATAAAGCAGGATGATGCGGGTGTGTGGCTCCAGACGGAAGGAGATCGAAGAACTAGCGGGGGAGAACTGTGAAGTCCTGGGGTGGTGGGGGTGGTTGTACAAGGATACAGTGGGAATGACGGGTTATTCAGTCCAGATGCTTTTTTCCTACTCTGCCACCAGCAGCACCCCGTCCCGTGTTTTTTTGTTTTTGTTTTGTTTTGTTTGCTTACCTTTGAGTTGAATAAAGGCAGAACAGCCCCCAAATCAAAAATTTGTGAAGGAGGGCCCTAGCCAGTTTAGCTCAGTGGGCAGGGCGTCAGCCTGCGGCCTGGAGGGTCCCAGGTTCGATTCCGGTCAAGGGCACAATCCCCAGTGATGTTTCTATCTCCCTCTCCTCCATTCCTCTCTGAAATCAATAAAAATATGTTTTTTAAGAAAAATTATAGAGGAATAATTTTAATGCCTGCCTCACAAATATGTATAGTTTTAAGTGAGATTTTTTTTTCCTGCTATGAATGTTTTAGACACGATGTTAAAGTGAAAAAAGCAGGGTACAAAGTCACATCCATTTTTAGAGCAATTTACTCTAAAATGTTTACTATTTTAAAATTGCATGTACATCGGTGCAGGGACTGGAAGGGACACTAGAATTCATTCGTCTTTTATTTTCTAATGTTCTTAAGAGTATCCACAATTTTAAAAATGAGAGGGAATTGGGGTGTATGCTTGAATGTCTTTGGTAAACCGTAAAATTGCATGTGTTGTAAATGGTATTATCCTCTTATTTCCTTCTTAGGGATTCCAGGCCCTTTTTTGTGGAGGTTGATATTATAGGTTCGCTCCAAACATAGGTAGATAGCTTTTTAAATTTTCATGATTACATGAGTTTTCTTTGTGGAACTAACTTCCTTGCTATTCTTGTTGGAACAGCTCTGAGCTGAAAACAACGGCCTGTTGTTGAGTCCTTGGCATAATTTGTCACTTTATATAATTTTCCCTTTTACTGTGAAGTATACGTAACAGAAGGGTGTATAAAACATGAGTACTTTTTAAAGACTTGTGTACCCACCCTTCAGGTTAGGAAGTAAAGCATGGCCAATACCTTAGAACATTCATTCTCAGCACAAGTGATAGGCCTTCAGGCAGATGAAAATTGGTTCTGAGAGGATGGAACAGTGTGTGAAAAAATCATAGATACTACTGTGGTGTGTGGCCCTCCCAAGAGCCATAGTGCATATACATGTATATAATATATCTGTAGTATTGAAATTTCATTGGGGGAAGGGAGCGAGAATGTGATAAGGAAAACAACTGTTGAAAAAAGCTCCTTTGGCGTACAAGAATTAAGAATAGGTTGAAAAACATGCCTTTGAAGCTCTGATTTTATGTCCTCCACCAAGGGGTGACTACTGTCCTGACTTGTGATAAGCATTCACTTGTTTCAAGCATTCATTTCATTTTCCATCTATAATGCATTCCTAAAAAATGAATTGTTGGGTTCTTCAATTTATATTAATGGGATCAAAGTATATGTATTATGATTCACCCCGTTCTCATTGTATTTGTAAGATTCATTCACACTGTTGTATGTTGTTTTTTGTTGTGTAATATTCCATAGGTTTCTATTTCATAATTCATCCATTGTTGGATATTTGGGTTGTTTATAATTTGGGGCTAGCATCAATGATGTGGTTAAAAAGGTTCTTATAAAATATATCTATTGTTATATACATGCAAGAGTTTCTCTAGAGCAGTGTGTTGTCCAATGAAAATATAATGCAAGCCATATATGTAATTTAAAATGTCTTAGTAATCATATTAAAAAGAAACAAAATTAATTTAATATAATCAGTGTTAAAAATTATTAATGAAATATTTTGTTTTCTTCATACTGTCTTCAAGATTTATGTATTTTACACCTGTAGTACGCTGTTTTCATAAACACTTGATCTATGTTTATATTTTATCAAATTTACTGTTGATAAAGTAAATCTGTATACCCAAATTGTTTGAAATGCACTCCAAATTTTCCAATAATTAACTTGAGAATCAATTTTGAAATTTAAATTAATTAAAATTAAATAGAAAGTCTAGTTCCCCAGTTGCACTGACTAACCTCATTCCAGTGCTAGTGGCTACCATATTGGGCAATGCAGATCTAGAGTATATAAACTTAGGAGTAGAATTACTAGGCCATAAGGTATTCAGATGTTCAGCTTTTCTAGGTCATGCCAAACAGTTTTTCAGAGTGGCTGTGCTAAGTCACATTCTTGCCCCCTGGGTGTGAAAGTGGAAGGCACATCTCAGTGAGCTGAAGTTTATTTTTATGTTATGTATAAAAATAATACTAGTAAAACTGAAGTCTTTATGTTACTATTGAGGGCATATTTTATTTAAGGAAACAAACGTATCAATTAAAAAGGGGTCCTTTTTAAAAAAATATTTTTTATTAATTTCAGGGAGGAAGGGAAAGGGGGAGAGATAGAAACATCAATGATGAGAGAGAATCATTGGTCTGCTGCCTCCTGCACACCCCCTACTGGGGACTGAGCCCACAACCTAGGCATGTGCCCTGACTGTGAATTGAACCATGACTTCCTGGTTCATAGGTTGACACTCAACCACTGAGCCAAATAGATGATGGATAGATAAATAGATAAGGTCACATGCTCAGATTTCGGGTTCCATCCCCTGTGGGGTGCATACGTGTCTCTCTGTCTCACACCCTCCCCCTTTCACCCCCTTTCTTTCTCCCTTTCTCTCTTTTTAAAAAATCAATTTAAAGGAACATGTTATTTTAAAAAATTCAACCCATTGTCTGTTTTGTGTACAGGCCATCAGTTAATGTTTTTTACAGACAATCATGTACAGTCAGTTTGATATTAAGGAACACTAAACTTTAAGCCCTAGTGAAGCAGAATGTTATCCCCCCAAAATTCTATTTTCCTCATCAGTAGATCTGTATTATAAAAAATTATGCTCTGTTATTATTATGTTTTGAATGTTATCAACAAAATATTTGTGGAAAGTTGTTTTCTCTTGCTTTATAAGTACCCACATAGTCTAAAATATTTACTATCTGGCTCTTTACAGAAAAAGTTCATGCGATCATGTATATGTTTAGACACAATAATGCTGCATTTTAATAGGATCATCTAAAGAAAGTAATAAATCAGTATGTAAAACATCTTCATTATGCATATTTATGCACAATGAAAGGACTAGAAGAAAGAGAACAGTATTGCTTAGAAATTAGGAACAAGGGCTCTGAAACCAAACTGCAAGGTTCAAAACCCAGTTGTACCATTTATTATTGTTACCTTCAGAAAGTTACCTTCATGCACCCTCATTGTCTTCATCTATAAAATGAAGATAATAATTATAATTTAAGTTCAAATAATTGCTTTGGAAGTAACAGAGTTAATACGTATAATGTCCCTTAGGGTACGTGGCACTGCCATTATTTTAATGGAGAAAGGAATAAACAAAATAAATGACCATCTCTGAGTGATGGGATTATTGGTTATTTTTCTTTTTAATTATTTTATATGTGTGTGTTTCCTAACTGTGAACATACACTAATTATGTAATAACGTGCTGTTTTATTAGTTCTCTCTTTAAAACATTAATTTTAAATGTTTTACCTTAAAACATTAATAGTAAACTTGGTTAGTGTGCATATTTCTCTCTTACTTTAATCTTTTCCTATAGACATGGCCCATGGACATGAACATGAGCATGGACATGGTCATGGTAAAATGGAACTTCCAGATTATAGAAAATGGAAGATAGAAGGGACACCATTAGAAACTGTGCAGGAGAAGCTGGCTGCACGGGGGCTCAAGGATCCGTGGGGCCGGTAAGAATCATTAAATAATTTAGATAGAATTTATCATAGAGAATCATTATCTGTTTCTTTTTCATGTATTTCCCTTTTTAAAAAAATCATTGAAGCCGAAACCGGTTTGGCTCAGTGGATGGAGCATCGGCCTGCGGACTGAAGGGTCCTGGGTTCGAGTCCGGTCAGGGGCATGTGCCTGGGTTGCGGGCACATTCCCAGTGGGGGATGTGCAGGAGGCAGCTGATCGATGTTTCTCTCTCATCGATGTTTCTGACTCTCTATCTCTCTCCCTTCCTCTCTGTAAAAAATCAATAAAATTTATTTTAAAAAAATCATTGAAAATGGCTTTTTACATTAAAGTTTTAAAATCCATTTTATTGAAGTACCATTTACATACAATAAAATTCACTCATTTTAAAGGGTTTAATTCCATGAGTTTTGATAAATGTATACAATTATGTAACCACCACAGTCATGATATAAACGATTTCTGTCACCCCAAAAAGTTCTTCCGTGCCCCTTTCACGCTCAGTGTCATCCTACCCCTGGCTCCTGGCAGCCATTGATCTGCTTTTTGTCTCTCCAGTTTTTGCTTTCCTGGCCACTTGGTGCGCTGCTTTGGAGACTTAGGCGCATCATTAGCTTGTATCCCTAGTCCCTTCCTTATTGACTGCTGAGCAATATCCTTATTGACTGCTGAGCAATAGCCTTATTGACTGCTGAGCACTATCCACTGTGTGCACAGACCTCATTTTGTTTGCAGTTCACCAGTTAATTGCCTTTTGTGTTGTTTCCAGTTTTTAACCGTTCCGTTATGAGTAAAGATGCTATAACCAATCAAGTACAAGTCTGAGTGAACATGATGTTTTCATTTCTCTAA